GAAGAAATGGGCTCGTAGCCGTCAGCCTCCCTCGGCGGTCGTGAGAAAAGCCAAACGCAAACCACACTGAATCTGTTGAAAGAAATGTGACTTTTCTTAGGGTTCAGAACGCCTGACCACGTTGGTGGTTTGATGGTGAAACTTAGCTTTCAGCTGGTATTTCTCAGCCCTTAAATGAGACGGAGTTAAGTTTGCAATTTTATTTTAACCCGCAGTACCACTCATCTCTTGAGAGGTCCCGAACATGCTTAGTGGTGACTGCTGATTTGTTAAAACTTTTTTTGTTCCCCAAATGGTATCCTTAATAGCTTAAAGTTTGTACCCGCAGCTATTTAGCAGAAAAGACTGTTTATTCTTGATCTGGCTGAGTGTTTGCAGTTCAGGAGGTCTCAGCATTTTCCTGTTTGTGAATATACTTTTTTCCTCTATGAAACTGCAGTGTCAGCAGGTTCAAGTCTTGACAACAGGAATGTTGCTTTTCCTCCTGTCTTGCATCTCTTTGAAGCTGGCATTGCCAAATGGCATACGTTGCCAACATCCTTTTTCTTGTAACACTTTGAGCTGTTCTGCAGTTTGCTGTTGGTTTATGACATCCCTTTTGCATTGTTCCACATCTGTTCAGTTTCCTGCTATTCCTGTAATACCAGTGCTGTTACTTTATGTTTGTGTAAGTCAGTCTTACGTTGACTGCAAAAGATGTGATGACAGCAAAGTTAAGGGGTCAGAGGCCAATACAAATTAGGGGGGCTATTTGAAATACAGGTAGGGTAAGAATGGATGTCTACCTGATATTTTACTGCTTTATTTCTCCACAAGATGGAAGCCGAGACCCATGTCCAACCCAGAGCCTCCCGTACGGCTCTTACTGGAGACCTGCACACGCAGTGCTGCGTTGTGCAAGAGAGAGGAGCTTGTGAAGAGCAGTCAACTCTTCCCTCTCACATTCTAGTGCCTCTTTTGTCTTGTAACCATACTGTTCTAGCAACACTACTATCCTAGGCCACAGCCAGTCAAATGGAAGGCTCCATACAAGACCCCATTAAGCATTTTGGGTTTGTCTCTGGGGCAAGCAAGTCTGTTACCTCCCTTGCCTCAACAAATTAGTCTCACACTCTGCCATTACCTCTTACAAGTTAATACAAGTAACAATTACTGACTCACTGGTGATACCGAAACCAGCTACATGCCACTGAAGGCAAAAAGCTTTTAATGCAAATGTAAGACTATAAGATACATAAAATATGTATTCGTGGAGAGATGTGTCAGTTACCTGTGATGATTTGATTTCTTATTTAAAACGAACTCTGCAGGATTTCTGCACCAATCTCCATATATGCAATATAGGGCAGGGTGGAATTCATAACTATCTTTCCCAGTTCTTTGGACTATACTGCCATGTAGCTGCTTGCTGGCTTGTGCTGTAAAAAAAAGACCAAACTATTCTACCCATCCTAGCTTGAAGGGCTGGGAATGTACTCATATTCTTCTTTAAAAAAATTAAAATAAAAAAATACATCTGACTTGACTGGAACACAGTGAACACAATTATCTGTTGGGCAGAAAAGGGAAAGGTCTTTTTTGCTAGGGGGGAAAAAAAAAAAAGTAGACCAAAAGAATTTAAATTCCACTTCTGCTGCATCCATTTTCTTTTACCATTGAGTTGCTGAGCTAAAAAATCATTATTTGCACTGAGGTACTCCATTATACCCACACAGCTCAAAATCATCACTCCCTGCTGCAGAGGTTTTTGCTTCTTTTTTCTAGTTACACAAGTTGCCCTAAAACCTGCTTCTGCTACAATTGAAACACTGCACTGCACATTTATTGGCCAAGTAATGCTTCTCTTCGCTCCGTTTTACATCTGCGCAGTGATTCCCGATTGCTGGGCTCAAGGATCATCACCCTGTCAAAAAAGATCAATGCAGTTTGATGTATTTTAAAAACATTAAAAAGATACCTTCTTGGTAGAGGCGCACGGTTGCCTAACGCTAGTAACGCAGCTCACGCAAGCTCTCCGGCCACGCCCGGGGACTACATTTCTCTTTTATTTTGCAGTTTCAGGGGTTTAGATACAATAACCACATTCCTAGCACTGCACAAATCGCGCTTTCAGTGCTAAATCACACACACACCCAAAGTATGTCACAGTAAAGATTCCTGAAAGCAACATACAAACAAATGAAGGGATCGAGGCTTTAGCACAACGAGCTCAAACTACATCATTGTAGTCACATTTTTCTCCAGAACACTGTGCTTTTTTCTTAGAGCTATCACATTTTGAGACACAACAGAACAGAATTACAAAAGCATTCACAAGCGTCATGATCCAGCAAATTACAGCACAGCGGGCAGGCAGTTGACTCCAGTCTCCGACATCAGAAAGCCTCCTCGGTCAGAGGAGTTCATAGGCCTAAGGTAAAGCCATAAAACACTTCAGAATTTTCAGTTTAAGACGGCAAACTCTCTGTATCCACCTAATTTACATTTACAGATGCAATTTGCAATCGCAGTTTGGAGCTGGGACGCGCACGCAAGCGTGTGATCATAAAGGCATACAGTGTATGTAATTTCACAGATTCACAAAAGCAGTTCCTCCATGTATTTCAGAGAAATACAAGCTCTGCGTGTGGCTAATGCACACAGAATTCTACACACAGATGTAGAAGTTTTGTGATTTTAACGGTGTTGGAAGTATAAGAATATTTTAGATGTTAAATATTAAAAATTGTCCTTCCCTTCAAAGAACGATGCAACAAAACGTCCATAAAATAACTCCAACAGGACGTCTTTGCCATTTTTCATTTGCAGTTATGTTTTATTAATCAATCTTCCCTTTTTTAAATTATACTTTGTGGTTGAATCTGAAACAAGAAAAACTATCCCCACACACACACCCATCTAGCACAAAATTAAAAAAATAAATCAACAACAAAATGCAGAAAGAAAACCTAATAATATTGGCACTAATATTTCCCAACACTCACATTTTGGCTCCTGATATTTTTATCTTTCTGAGCCAGTGCTGTTCCAAGTCTTACACGTCAGATTTTGCCTCTAGCTAAGCATGCAGCAGCCAACTCCTCCTTCCCTTCGTCCCACAACAAATCCACCATCAAGCAGTCGATCAGAGCAGATCCAAACCTGGAGAGGTAAAACTACAGGATACAGGGGAAAAGCTGCAGGACAGTCAGCTCTTGTGCTCCCAGAAACAAACTGTTAGGGCGTAGCGAGGTGCCAAAGACAGCAACACCCCCAGCACTCTGCCAGCCGTTCCTGGTGACCGCGGAGAAGGTTGCACCAGGCAAGAGCAGGTATGCTGCAAGGCCTCCTCCTCCTCCTCCCTCCCTGCCTGGCAGCCTTGATTCCTCCATGTCCTCTTCCTCCATTTAGAGACTGGACACAAAATCCACGCCCACGCTCTTGGCTGTCTGGAGGACCTCAAACTCGCAGAGAAATAAACTGCTTTCTGCTCCATCGTACAAAAAACTGAGGTCCGTGTCTAGAGGACAGCAACAATAACTCAAAGTATCTGGGGACAGACTTTTTTTTTTTTAATGTTAAAAAAAAAAAAAAGCGTATTCTTGCTTTATAAGAGATTTTTGTCCCCATTTTCTTTTAGACATGGTCCCTTCTGATGGGTTTTTGTGCTTCCTGCTGTTCTTGACAAAAAAAAAAAAACAACCCTCTTTCTGCAGTAGAGGAATTTATAATCAAAAATGCAACATTCTCTGTGGAAATAACATTTGCAACACTATACAATTCTTTTTCTTCAGTGTAACTCACATTAACACTAGGTGCACTTACAATATTTAGTTAATTTTTTAAAAATTATTGGATGAGGAAATACAGAATATTAACACTTCAGCACATTAAACAAACATACCAATTTCCTACAACAGAGACTTCTGCCTGTGGACTACATGATAATGCATCACCACAAATGAAAAGATAAAATTTAGTCAGGAAAGGAGGAGGACATTTCTCAGCGAGAAAGGTCACTAGCATGAGCAGTTCTGCTGCGAAGGGGGTGGGTTGTCTGTGAGTCGCATGCCCCTTCCAGAAGTGCCTCTGGAAGGGTCTGATTCTATACTCTCCGACATCTTTTCACAGATTATATCCACGAGACGCTCAAACACCTGCCTTACATTGATGTTTTCTTTGGCACTAGCTTCAAAATAGTCAAAACCTGTGAGAAAAAGTGAAAGGAAAAAAATTGAGAGACTGATGATAATGGAGATAGTTTTTAAAATACTAACCATTTTTTTTCAAAATTTACTTTAAGAAAACAAGACATTAGACAATTCTGAAGCTCAGTTGTTTCCCACAATCTCAGAACACTGAGCATAAATACTTCTAAAACGTATCGAGCGTCAGTAAGAGTTGAAGGCATAAATGGATCCCTACCATAGCCCTGGTAAACACATCGGCAGATGATACAGACCTGAATAAACTCTGGAAAAGAGAGTTAAATTCTCCCGATGCCAGTAACTGGTAACATATGGAGGGCCTCCTTCTACAAACCACTACTGCAGTCTGGCAAGAGCAGAGACCAGAAAGAGAAGCAAGATCATGGTTGTATTCCTTCTGCTGACCAACTTCTGCATTTGTAAACAAAATGCTCCATGATTTTGGTCCTGTTTTTCCCGTTCTTTGTCTGATTAGATGGAAAGCTCTTCAGGGTGATTAATACTTGCACATCACATGTCACGACAGAGCACCCATCCTGACAAGGGCCGTTCAGCACTGCTAAGTTAAAAATAATGTTGAATGCCTCCTACAGAATGATTTCAGTGTCCAGTCATCAGCTCCTAGCTGCAGTGATGAGTACGGATTCTCAAACACTGACCCTTTCTGATTAAAAAAAAAAAACCCTCAAACCAAAACAAAAAACACAGCAAGGCTGGAATTATGCC